TGGGCATCCCTTCTCTAGGAAGAGAGATCTTTGAGACCCCCCCTCCTCTTTCTTTTACACGGCAGCAACAGGGAGAGACACTCAAGAGAAACACTGATGCTTGTATTAACTTGAGGCTGTTGTAGTTTAGGATCAACAGGGCCTGTGGGATCTTACATTATTATTTTTTTTTTTTCTGGTCCTTTAACCGTGAAAGAACACTGGAGTGAACGAGGAAGAACACCCAGCATTAGAGGCTACAACCACGCTCTGCCTGGAGACACTTCTACCGTTTTTGTTAATTTGTGTATGACTGCTTTTGTTTTATTCCCTCTGCCTCCTCTCTCAGTTGCCCCACTGTCTCTCAGTATAGGGAATTCTTTATTCCATTTTCATAGCAGAGAGGAAACATCAAAGGCAAAATGAAAGTTTGAAGCAAGACATGCCCATTTGGGGACTGTTCCCTCTATAGATCTTGGAAGTGCCACCTCAAATTTTAATTAAAACACACATTTTCTCTCTTTTCCCAGGTGATTCTGAAAATGTAATGCAGATACAATACCTAGGATATTGTTAAGGTGACATTCGAATCCAGGGAGCCTGGGGCAGGGTCCTGGTTGTGCCTGGCTCCCGCTCCCAGCTCCCAGCTCTATTGGAGCTCCCTTTGCCTAGTGAAGGCTTTGGCATATCTGCTTCTGCATGTAAATTTCTTTGGTTCCAGTTGCGGAATTCCATTGAGTGGTGGAATTCAAAGTTAACTTCACTTAGCAGCTTTAAATTAATTTTGTAGTTTGGGCAATAAATTTGTGGCACTCAAATTCTCTTTTCTTAAAAGAAGAAACACTGAACTTGCCAAGTCAGTTTTCTGTGGCGCTATCCTCTCTGTCTTTACATCCCCCCAGTGGTGGTCCAGATGGCCCTGGGAGCTTCTCCTTTGTTCTCTTAATAGTGTGAAATTGGGCTTTCCATTCTATTAGAGAGGTCAATTAGAGATGATTGGGTTTGAGAGAAATGTACTCCATTTTCAAAATATTTCCTCATCGCTGGGCTTCCATCCAAATCCTTGAAGAATTATTAATAATTTCAGGTCTTAGATATGAAAGTTCCTTACCCATGCTACAATACATAAATATTTCAGTTATGGAATAATACAATAATCAGTGCTTTAATTTTGGTTGTTCAGATGCTCCCTCTCTTATTACACCATAAGTTTCCCTGAGGACAGAGTCTGTGCGTGCTTCATCATTATGTAACTGTTGAGCCAATAGAAGATATCCAATTGACTTCATGATTATAAAAGCCTGTTGTGGTGGCATATACCTTTATTTCCAGCATTTAAAGGCAGAAAGGCAGCCAAATCTCTATGAGTTCAGGGCCAGCCTGGCCTGCACATTGAGTTTCAAGACAGCTAGGGCTATATAGAAAGGTCCTGTCTCCAAAAGTTTCTAAAAAGATTATAAAATAAAAATATCTCTAAAACTAATAATGTCCATTCTCTGAGAAACCTAGTGCTCTTTTCTTACGGCTCAGGGTCACCAGACATGTCTAGGTCTGCCATTGGTGCCCGGTCACTCTCTGAGTCTTTATTCTTTCAGTTTTCAAGTGAGGAGAAAATTCCTGTCATCAGCAGAGAATGGTAGGAGTGAGCTGTAGGTGTTGGTTGTCTCTATCAGTCTTCTTCCACAGAAACAAAGGGGCAGGCAATGCATATAAAATGTCTCAGGTAGACGCAAGTCTTTCCTATTTACTAGGAAGCACGGTTCTCTGTTTGCATTACATGGTGGGCTGTTACAGTTGCTATTTCTCTATACAGGAGGATTGCATTGTCTAAACCCCACTCCATGTAAAAGTTTGGAATGATACAGCTGGTTTTAGAAAACAGAATGCATGTCAAAATAATTAGTGCTATTATTCCCACATTTTAGATTTTAAAGCGTTCTGCATCTGCTGCTAGACTTCTCTTACCATGCTTTGGTGACCTCGGGAACCATTTATTCCAGATGGTGTAGCCATGAAATAAAACCGGCATTGTCACAAATGACTGCTTGGGAATTCTTTCTTCTGTATCTCACTGCTTCTGTCTCTACCCTATCAACTTCTGGGCCATCTCTTGCCTTCTCAGTTCCTCTGCCGCCTTTCTTGGCTCCCAAGGTGTCTGCTCCATTGTTTGTTGGAATTCTTCAGCTTCCTCCTTTCCATGCAACAGGCTCCATGCATTGTACCATAATAAAAACTACAAGCAGGCAAAAACCATTTGAGAGGATTCTTTATAAGGGACGAATGTTGCTGTGTGTGTGTGTGTGTGTGTGTGTGTTGTATAGTACAATGGAGGGAAACCTCCAAGGTTAACCTACGAATGTAAAACTCACCTTGATCACCAGCAGAAGGGGATATGGCTTAGGTGTGGCATGCAAACGTAGGTTTATAGTTTAGACAACTCATAGCACAGCTTCCAGTTTCAGCAAGGCCAGTCACAACCCCCACAAAAGGACCAATCAACAGCCTAGAATAAGATGTAATCACAGAGTTAGGGGTTCAGCTCAGTGGTAGAGTGTTTATCTAGCATGCACAGATCCTGGGTTAGGTCTATAGCACTGCTAAAACAAAATGAAACAAAACCACAAACCTATTCGTAGGCTTTGTGTAGATACAAGCCCAATTTGTCCGTCACAATCTGTTGCCTCACTGGAAGCCATAGTCTTCCTTTCCTTGATTTAATTGAGGACAGCTCTCAACAAGACTTTGAGTTAACCTCCAGGTAGCCGTAGGTGAGGTCATTTGGAGATTATTTAGCTCATCTTGGCTAAAGCCCAGTTTTCCCCCTTTGATATCAGTTCAGACAAGTGTGACTGGTCTTGAGACCTCAGACACAGAAGCAGCAGCACCCAGAAGCTGAGGCTGTAGTGTGCTTGTCTTTGCAACAGAGCCTCTTCAAGGGGTCATCAGTATTCAAAGCAGCTGGCTTACCTCAGTGACAGCTCATCCTGTCATTAAAGCAGGCTGCTTCCTACTCAAAGTAGCTGAACGTAGGGTCTGACAGCTGTCAATCAAGATCCCAAGAGCATAGCTTATTGGAAAGAAAGTGAGCATAAAAGGGCGCTTACCCCGAAGGCCTGTCATTCGCAGTAACACTCGGCAGTATTAACTGCTTAGCTTCTCAGAGGACACCTTCAGCGAGAGTTGGGTCACTTTGTCCCAGTCTGAATCCCTGAGATTGGAGCGTGGCTGCCTCAGAGGGTCCGTACCCATATCGGACTGTGAGGTGGATGAGAAAGAGAAACAAAGGCCTTGACTGTGTTAAACCACTGAGGGTTCTAATTAGCATATTTCCTGAGATTTTCTAGTCCGGGGAGGGGACACAAAATGAGAGAGAAGGGTTGTGGTGGGGACTCGAGAGGAACGTCCCGTGTAAGGAGGAAGGGCATCTGTGTTTGAGACAGTGCAGCCTTCACCTGCAGAACCTCTCGTTGCAGTTAACAAAACTGTGTTTATTGTTGGTTTTACTGGCCTCTGCCAAGTGCTCCATTTCTACAGTAGCCACCAAGTCCTGTATGGACTGGGCATGACACTTAGCTGTCTGTATTTTAAACCTTTGATACTACTGGCCATACAAGTTGGATTCCTCTCTCCCTTTCCTGTAAGATTCCTGCTCTTCTGTGATCCAAAGAGTGCAGAAGATTCCTGAGTATCCAGACAGAGACAGTGGAGTGGAAGGAAAGGATTTCACTGGTGGCCTGTGTAAAATCGAATAAAACCCATCATAAAGCTAAGAGAGTCGGCAAGAAAATTGGCTATAAATATTGCCACCTTCAGTTAGAAACATGTACCTAGTCCTTCACTATTCATGAAAGTCAACACATGCCATCTTATTTAATAGTCAGTGCATGCATATAGTGTATATATATATATATAGGATATAAATTATTACTTTTGTTTCATAAAAGGAGAATACAAAGAGTGGAAAAAGCAGGCAAGTTGCTCTGATCACACAGACAGATAGGAAAGGCTAGAAGCAATGCCTATAACTTCTCAGGTCACGACCTAGTACCTTGACGTACCTCACAAGATCCTCAGATGCTCTGATTCTGTCTGCGGACCCATCCCACCACTGAAGTTGGATTTTCTCGCCTTTTTATATGCCCACCAATAATATCCCCCCACCCCGTTATAATTTTCTTCTCATTTGCTTCCATTCGTCAAAACCTCAGACATTCCCCTTTTTAGGGAATTCTCCTTTAATAACTCCCAAAGTGAAAGTCAATATCAGGTCCCCTGCTCTGCATACGGTGTCCAGTACTTCCTTCCTGGCCCCATCAGAAGATGCTTCTGTTTGTATTATCCTTGGAGTGTTGTCTGTTTCATCTAGAATGTCATCTCTGCAGGGAAAGGACTGGGGCCTGTTAGCTCATTATCTGTGCCCGGCACATACTAAACACCCAACAAATTTCAAGAGAATGAATAAAACGATGATCCTCAGATTTTCAATTGATTCCTAGAATAAATATTGATGGGGGTGGGGTGAGAGCAGGAGAGGAGGTGGAAAATCTTGAGATTTGAATAGAACCATGAGAACCATATTACCTGTTGGTGTTCTTAATGGTTTCAGGGTATTGAAAAGAGAATTTGGTTTTCTCTTTCATTCTTTTCAGTTTTGCAGTGATAAGTACCCTTGATATTTCTGAAGATAGTATGATTGTATAAGAAAACTCAGATGTTTCAATCCGTTAGGTGGCCCTGAATTTATTAGAAAAGATCCCTGAATTTATTAAAATATTGATCATTGTATGTAGATTAATTAAATGGGTGATTTTTAAATCAGTGTTCAACCACAATCTTCTAACATATGCGTGTGTTGCTATTAAGTAGTACCAACTTATTTAAAAGCATCAATGAATTCCTAATTCATAGTAATTTAAAAATAATTATGTGTTTGCTTTTATCTGCAGGCATGAAGCTCTAATACTGATGGTCCTCATGCTTAAATGTTAAAAAATATCCTAGATTAAAGAAGACAGAATCTTCCAACTCTACTATAAGGTGAGTTTTATACAAGTTATTAAGCTAGAGATTATTTTGAAGTATCAGTATTCCAGTTTTTTATTGTATTTCTACATTCTCATGGAAATTGCTTTCTTAAATCAAGGCCATCTTCAAAACTGCATTTGATTCTTTATGTTTCTTTGATTGCTTGTCCTCTCTTTGGCTCCACAAAGACTGTTCATGGATCAATTACTAAAGGCAAGAATTGTTATGGGTTAACTTTAACTTAAAATTTAAGATGATCTTTTTTTTTTTTTGGATTTTTCGAGACAGGGTTTCTCTGTGGCTTTGGAGTCTGTCCTGGAACTAGCTCTGGACAGGTCTGGTCTCAAACTCACAGAGATCTGCCTGCCTCTGCCTCCCGAGTGCTGGGATTAAAGGCGTGTGCCACCACTGCCCGGCTAAAGATGATCTTTTTAAGTACAAATGCTTGTATTTGTCCATAATTGTCAATTTAATTCTGTTAGTACTGGTTGAGGAAAGGAGAAAAGTGTCATTCTAGTTGGTCAGAGTTCTTCCAGTCATCTCTTTAATGTGTCTACTCACGTCTTGGAAGTAATTTTCCTAGATTTCCTGCACTGATGTCTTAGCTTCTGCTGAAAGAATCTGCAATGGCCCCAAGTAAAGCCCAAGTATTTTGATATAGCCTATCACTCCTTCCGATAGATCAGCCCACTTTCCTATCCTTGTTTTACTTTTCTGACTTTTAGGCAAGCTTTATATACTAAAATACAAATGAAATGCCACTACATTTCCCATTTTGTCTAAAGATAAAAACAGCCACACTGGCCAGCCTATAGACCAAGCAGCAATGACACACACCTTTAATCCCAGTAGCCACACTAGTTTGCCACAGTAACCAGGCGGTAGTGGTGTACGCCCTTAATCCCAGTACTAGAGAGGATTATAAAATGGGAGGAGACAGCTCTCAGGCAGTATCATTCTGAGGTTTCCTGGAGGCAGGATCACTATTTTTGGACTGAGGTCAATGTTAGAGCCAGTGGCTGGCTCCTTTGATTTTCTGGTCTTCAGGTTGAACCCCAATACCTTTCTCTGAGTTTTTACTAATCATGCTTCACTGTTTAATCTCTAGTCCTTCCAAAATCAAAACAAAGACAAACAAATAAAAAACTCCAACAATACTACCACTACCTATGGACCCAGCACTATTTTGTACTATTTTCTACCAGTCACTGGGTGGACTGTCTAATAAGCACATTTAAGTTCAAGAAGTTGCCTTAGGTAAGACATGATTATTGTTTGATTTCACAGGTCAGAAGAGTAAAGCTTATAAGAGTTAGGTAATTGGACCAATTGTCACACAATATAAATATACAACCTGGGGACTGTACATATTTCTTGTTTTTAAAAATAATTACAACATTGCTAATATTTATTTGTGGAATAAGCAATAATTTTGAACATTATTTGAACAAACCTATCTTTAAAAATGTAGATACTACCAAGTCAAACTTTTCACACTTTTGTGCTACGATGTGTTTCAAAATAAAGCACAAAATTTAAGGTAGAATAAGATAGACAGAAGTGGGGTGTGGGGTGAGGGACACCGGTGAAAGCCCAGAGCCACTTCTGGCCCTCTGAACTGGCTAACCACTTAACCTTGCTGAATCTTCAATCTCATATTCTCCTGCCTCAGCTCCCAGATGGCAACAAAAGCAGAAACGAAATGGAATTCTAGAAAACAAAAGATTCAGGCTGGGGAGATGCCTTACTAAGTGCTTGTAGCATAGCCATGGGGATTTGCCCTTGAATCCTCAGTACCACTGTGAAAGTCGGCAGGTGATGAGTGCCTGTAATCTCTAAACAGGAGTATTGCTGGAGCATCTGCAGCAGGCTGGCCAGGAGGCAGAGGTGGAGGCATCTCTGTGAGTTTGAGGTCAAGCTGGTCTACATTGTTAAGTTCTAGGTCGGTCAGATCTACATAGTGAGACCAAGTCTCAAACAAACGAAAACAAACAGCAACAAGGTAGAGCTATAGGGAAAGGCACCCATTACCAACACACACCTGAAACACGTGTACACATATAGATAAACACTATACAGATTGTTTATAGCAAAGGAGAAAGCAGAGTTAAGAGAGCCAATAGGAAAAGAGAAAGTATTTACCTGCTATCATCTGAGATGGAATTAATTCCAGAATATGTAAGGAACTCAAAGAACATAAAAAAAAACAGTTGAAAGTTGGATTAATTACCTAAACAGATAGTTATAAAAAGAGGATACAAAAGTGGTCAACAAGTATATGAAAAAATGCTTATATATGAATGCAAATCAAACTAGAAGGTCTCTGCTTGCCCCACTCAGCCTAGCTGTTACGAAAAGGACAGGATATCAAAAGTAGGATTCTGAGGAAGGAGAACTCTCACACACTTTTGCTGGCAAAGAAAATTAGTTTAATAATTAAGGAAAATGGCAGGAAATCTCTCCCCCAAACTAGAAATGGAACTACTGCATGAGCTAACAATCCCAGTGCCGTCGTCAGAATGAACTGGAGTCAGACAGCTGCACATCTGTGTTTATGGCAGTGCTCCTGCAATAGTCAAGGTCCAGGATCAACTCAGATGTCTCAGCAAGTGGAGAATCTGCCCAAAGTTCCCAGGACTGACCTCATCTGATTTCTCTCTTTATTCTGATATATATGACTTTGGCTGATTGTAGCATGTGAAGACAGAACTGTACTCATGGTAAAACAAAACCAAAGACATTGTGAGTATAAGAAGCAGTATAAGAAGACAGCCATAAAAGTGTCATATGTACAGTTACTCTACACCGTACTTTACAGTGGGATTCCCCTCTGTATGTTGTGAATATGTTTTATCGCCATTGGTTAATAAAGAAACTGCTTTGGCCTATGGCCTGGCAGAATAGACCTAGGTGGGAAAAACCAAACTGAATACAGGAAGAAGGAAGGCGGAGTCAGATAGATGTCATGTAGCTGCCGAAGAAGAAAGATGCCAGAACCTTACCAGTAGGCCACAGTGAAGTAATAAGGGCAGCGGCGGGGCTGCGTCCCCAACAGCCCAGCCGCCTGCCCGGCTAGCTTATGCCCGAAATAATTACACGGAAACTGTATTCATTTAATCACTGCTTGGCCCATTCTCTTCTAGGCTAATTCTCACATATTAATTTAGCCCATTTCTAATCATCTGTGTGTAGCACCCCAAGGTGCGCTTACCGGGGAGATTCTAGCCTAGTCCATCCTGGGTCGGAGCTTCATGGCGTGTGCCTGCCCGGGAGCGGGGCATGGCGTCTCTGCTGAGGCATCTGCTCAGGAGAGCAGAGCTGTGGAGTCTGAGCTCACTTCCTCTTCCTCCCAGCATTTTGTTCTGTTTACTCCTCCCACCTATCCTCTAACCAATAAAATGGGCCAGGGCAGTGCCTTTATTAGCCAATGACCTTCCTCCATCACCACAGCCTCACGGTGATACATAGATTAATAGAAATAGGTTAACTTACTATGTAAGAGCTAGTTAGAAATATGCCTGAGCTATCAGCCAAACAGTGCTGTAATTAGTATAGGTTTGTGTGATTGTTCTGGTCTGAGCAGTTGGGAGACAAACGAGCAGTCTATCTACATCTTACCACTCTTGTATTTGGTGTAAACTTCGTGAAACCAAGTCAGCCATTCACTGATGGTAGCCTTTGGATAGCATAGCAATAATAAACAATAACAAAGACATGCAAAAGTATATGCAAACTACAGGACATTTATTCTCAGTGTTCAGAAATAAATGAAGGAATAAAGAAAACAATGAATAAACTATCCGTTTTCATACTTGAAATTTTTGACACATTAGGTAAAAGATAAAACTTACAAATATTCCCTGTGAAGGTGAGTTAAAGTTTTGAAAAGAATTTCTTTTCTAAGACTCAAACTCAATCAGTACCTTTGTAAAGATAGAGGCTTGAAATCATGAACAGGAGCTGATGCAGAGGCCACGAAAGAGTGCTGCTTACTGGTTTGCTTCTCGTGGTTTGCTCAGCCTTCTTTCTTATAGAACCCAGGACCACCAGCCTAGAGGTGACCCCATCCACGATGGACTGGGTGCTCCCCATTAATTATTATGTAAGAAAACGCCCCACAGGCTTGCAGCCTGATCTTATGGAGGCATTCTCTCCATGGAGGCTCCATCCTCTCAGATGACTCTAGCTTGTAGTTGACATAAAACCAGCCAACACAACATGGGCAGTACTTTCATACTGAAGATTACAGAATACTGATGGCAAGAATCAAAGGAAGCCTAAATAGATAAGGTCTACATGTTCACAAGTTGGAATACTTCACATAGTAAATATATCAATATCCCTAAATACACCTGTACATTTAATCAAAATGATAGAAAGATTTTTTTATATATAACAAATTCTAAAATTTATGTGGCAAATAAAAAGCAAACAATAGTAGTTAAACCAATTTGAAAACTAAGGGAACATTTGTATAAATTATAAAACACAAGTTGGGTGGGTGGGGGATGTGGAGATGATCTGGGAGGAGCTGGGGAGGGGGAAACATGATCAGAATATATTGCATGAAAAATTATTTTTAATTAAAAAGCTTTCTGTGAAGATCCTGTATTAAGGCAGAATGGAGTTATCTAAGAATGGATCCATGGAACAGAGTAGAGGGTCCAGAAGCAGATCCATACAAATGGGATCAATTGATTTAGGCAAAGGTGCAAAGATGACTTGGTAAGAAAGGGGCAGTCTTTTCAACAAATGGTGCTGAACACTTGGCATCTCCGTGAAATAAAATCAACCTTGATATGACTCTCATCTCTTTAAAAAATGAGCTAGAAGTGGATAGTAGATCTAAATGTAAAACATAAAATCACAAAAAGTATAAAAGAAAAAAATTAAAAGTTCACATGACCTTGAATTTATACACATGACCAAAAGCATAAACCATAGAGAAAAAAGTAGGTTAGATAGACTTTATTAAAAACCCCCACAAACTATTGTTTTGTAAAGACACTAAC